TAGGGCACTTATAAGTTTCGGGAAAATAATTAAGCTAAGAAAAAATATGGGGGTTTGTGATGATTCGATTAAATAAATGTCGATAAGAAATCAATGGAAATAAACGTTGGGGCGCAAGGAAATCTCAGGGTTCATGGAGCAATTTATTTAGGAACGAGGAACATGGATCTAGTTAAGTATGCAATCCAGTTGTAAATTAACCATAATATTCTCATATCAATGATTAATCATGTCTAACAACCTAATTCATTTAGGTTATGAAGGTGAAAAGTTAAGCATGCGCGCATAAGTTTATACAAAGCTCATCCAATATAAATTAGGTGTTCATCCGCGTAAATCTAGCAAAGGGGGATTCCTAACTCGAATTCAGTTAACAATAAAATCAACCAACTCTTGCAGTGTAGACTAATATATCAAGCAACCTAAATACTCGACTCTTGTAAAGAAATTGGATAGATAGATACGCATAAAAAAATATTAAGATGCGATATGTTAACCTGATCTTTAACACGACTCTAGCAATGATAAAATTCAAGCTCATCTATACTAGTTCCAATCAATCAATTAAGTGATGTGCTCGTAAAGATCGATCTAGATTTAATCACAATTAGTTAAACTAGCAAATTCCAGGAGATGAAAGTATAGATGAAGACTCCACTAAAAACCTTGAACATATCCTATTTATCGATCCATGAATAACTCCCCTTGAAAACCCCTTAAACTCAAACAATCAAACTACTCAATCATAAAAGTGAAGATCATAACAAGAGTAGAATGAAAAGATAGCATTAATAAAGAGGGATAATCTTGAACCGCCTATAACTTGATCTTTACTCAAACATATTTAGTAGATCGATGATATCTCAAGATTCAACTGTCGGATTGTGGCGATCAAATATTCATTCTGAAGCTGAGATCCTCCTCTATTTGGTGATAAAATATGAGCTTGATCAGACGGTGGGAACATCTTCATCTGAAAATAAACATTTGATGGCCATGATTTGTCATTTCGTGAAAAGACTTGATTTCACTCATTCTATGCCCAAACTGCTCCGATTTCCTGTATTGACTTCAAAACCCATGAAAATACTAAAAATAGTAATTAAATGCCAAAACCAAATTATTTATTAATTCATAACTTATTAAAAACGGTAAAATACGACATATACCATATATATAAAAAAGAGAAATTAGCAAGAATAACACAAAAAAATATAATTTGAAAACTAGACACACGTCAATTAATCTCGTTATGTTCATTGATCAGAGGCAATGCATTTATATACAAGTTATCAGATGCACTCAACTATCGTTGCGTCCTAATCCTAAACACACTTAACCTTATCACATTGTGATTCATGTATATCCTAACTACATTGAGAATATCCTCTATATTCGTCTAGAACTTTCTAGTACTTCCTTAACATCAACTCCTAAGCTTCAATCATCTTTCTTATCTTGGCCGATCCCAACTATCTCCACCGGTCAAGGATCGTAAGACCACTATATAGTCATCTTCTCGAACGTTCAATTGTAGCCATCCTTCCTCACCAACTGTTAGTAGTCGTTTTTTTTTTGTTTCTCTGCTTTATTGGTTGGTTCCAGCTCCGAACCATAGAATTTCAAAACGACAGATCCTGACGGGTAAATGACACCGTTTTTTTTGCGTCTATTGTCTCTTCTTGTCTTCTTTAATTTGTGATCTTTTGAATGTATTAAAATTAATTTCAAATTACCTAGGAGTTTTTGTTGTTTGATAATTTTTCACAGGAGTTAAGACACTTTTGGGAAGGGTTTTGTGTTCATTTTCTTTACGGATCTTCAAAACTAGAC